AAAATCTAGCTAGGTTTTCTTAGAGGCTCATATTTATATCAATGAATAATTTTGTCCGTATATTGTGATTCGGTATAGTCAGCTAAGACTTTCTACCTACTGTTGGTTTTCTCACGCAAGCAGTAGGATAGACTTATGTTTTATAAGATTGTTGTTTATCAGTAGCAGAGTCGAACGAGCGTCTAACGTAACATATTTTTGATAAGAAGTTCACATCAGTGTCTCAGTAACTTGTCTAGAAGTCAATCATTAAGCAGCACGCATTTCTTATTTCATTGAGTGTATTTCAGTCAGCAGTTTTAAAGTAAAAGGGCAACCTTAATTACAGTAATCATATTTTGATTTTATGAAGCATGTTTCTGAAAAAAAAGTAACAAGTAGTACCTAAATAGTTTTAACTGCAAAGTAATGTAACATTGGTTTCATTTTCATATTTACATTGTAAACTTACTTTGCAGCATAAATCTCATTCATTTTCCAACGTTAACTACTCAGAAATTTGTACAAATCACAAGGCTAAATGCCAGAAATCTTTTAACATTAATAGATTTAATACTGTCTTCTAATTATAATCATCTTCACGATCAATAATCATGATATCATGTAATATAATCTTTTATTTACACAAAATGTTTGCCTTGGCATTTTTTCTTTTGAAATGAAACTAGTTAAGTACATACATTTGTGTTGTAAAATAGCACTGAAGTGTTTTAGAACTTCTTTTCATATTATAAGGATTTTATTTATAGCAGATAAGTTGTAAAGTAATTGGATTTATTGAAAAGAAATTTCAGCGGGATTAATTATTATCTTGGTAAGTTTGTTGTGAAGTATTTTTTCATCAAATGAACTTGATATTCATATGACATCCCAATGAATGTAAAAATATTACTTCTGTTAATGATCTTATGATGAAGTATTTAAGTTTGTTTGATTGTACAAATGGTCTGATCTTCAATATAAATAGGTTTCACAGAAATAAAAATATCATTAGTTTATATATTTGCCTGACAAGAAATGAAGCAGAGTACGAGATTAGAACCACTGTGATTAATTCTTGGCCAGTTTTCAAAAAACTTTTTTTTCGCAAACAAGGTGCAAACAAACCTCACGGAAGTCGTCTACAAGTTATTTTATTTCTTAATCGGGAAAATATAACCACGTATAAG